GGAGATAGACCCACTGCTCTCTCGTAACAAGCATGTTGTTGAAGGTAACTCATTTCTAGTGTTTCCTTCGAAGTCGGTGTTTATCTGCGTGAGAGAACGATGAACCAACAATCTGCCCACAAATAATCCACATTTGTGAAACGGATGTGGACCCAAAATTCGAGTTCTGTAACAAGAGCAAAGTATAGAAGTAGATACCAAACAAAAATAGAGCGTTATGCTGGCTGTGACATCTAGTGAACATGAAGAAGCTAAAGAAGAAGCTGTTGTTGTTTCTCTTGTTATTGCAATTTTGTTGTCGTTGTTACGATTGCGGCTAGTGGTGTTCTTTATTATTATGATTGTTGCTGTTGAACCTTATCCCTTAGATATGTTTACTTTCGGGCGATAGGAAAACTCAGAGCCTGTGGATGTCTTGATTCCCTCTTGACAGACATGCAAGACGCTGATTCTATTCAACACACGGGCGTTCATCCTTGTGTGGGCACTATATCTGTGTGGGTACTGATGTGACGAATTTGTTTATGTTTGTTTTTGCGCTGTCTCTATGTGAGTACTGCTCTCTGTGAGTACTGACATGAATAATTTCTTTATCATTGTGTGAGCACTATGTCTGAGTGAGTACTGACATGAAGTATTTTTTTGTATCCCTGTGTTTACACTATCGCTGTGTGAGTACTGCTTTGAATAAGTACTGACTTGAAGAATTGCTTAATCCTTGTGTGTTCATTATCTTTTTGTAAGTACTGCTGCTCTGTGTGAGCAAGGACATGAAGCATTTTTTAAATATTTGTGTTTGCACTATCTTTGTGTGAATGCATCATTTTATTCATCCTTGTGTGTGAACTACCTCTGTGCGAGTACTAACATAAAGAATTTCTTCTTCTTTTTTGCGATCGATTTAATACTCTCAAGTTATCAAGTGTGTAGCCGCCATAAAACCGTCACATCCGCAAGGGTTCTTTAAAGTTTGCACTAGATGTCTTTTCCTGTTGGTCTTCTTGCAGGTTTTGCTGTTAGGAGAAGTTCTGTAGTATGTGCTCGGATGTTTGAAATACGGTCTGAAAGGGGCACCGACCGGATGTAAGGATTCTGAGATGCGCTAATGACAGAGACAAAATATACAAAAATGCAGGACATCAGGAGCCTCTCTTGGCAGTGGTGAAACGTTGTAGGTTATCTTGGTTCGGGTACGTGGTGAGACATGATTTGGTTGCAAAAACTATACTTCGGGGAACGTTAAGTAGAAAAAAGAGGGGGCGGGTCTGGGCGGTTGGGGGTGGTAGTCGAAGAAGAGGAGGACAAACAAACAAAAAGAATAAGAAATGGAAGGGACTAAGTTATTTATCAGGCGGAAGACAGAAAAATTGCAGGTTGTCTGTGCTAGTGGTTATGTTATGATGATTGAGTACATGCTATGGAAGACTGAAATGACATGGACTGTTGTGACTCCCACTCCTCGCTTTAGCAAAATGCTACATTATCGTCTGTAAGAACAGAAAGGTTATAACAAAACAGCATAATTAAAATACAGCAAATTCTCTTGATATGACCCAATAAAAATGGATTATCCATTTCTGATAGGGGCAATAAGTTCTCTGTGTGAGCTTACCACTGTCAAAACAAATCAATGATCTATTTAGACCGTCCATTATGTTCTTTATCTTCATTCGTGCTTAGGGCGACATCTGGCAACTGCTCAATATTGATAACTGACAGCCGTAAATCTAGAATACCTCAAATATTGATAACTGACAGCCGTAAATCTAGAATAGCTCAAAAGAGTCTCAGAATTCTCTGTCACCTCGTGTGATATAACTGTAGTAAAAATAATGTTTTTCATCCTCTTTTCAAAATCTAATTTTACGTGCATTTTTATAAATACATGTAGCTTATCTTTCTTCTGCTAAGTTCGGTCAAGATAACATGCCATTGTAGCCTAAAAATGCTCGGAGACAACTTACGACAAACATCAGAAACTGAATCATCATTTGGAGGAGGGGAGCAAAGGAGGGGGGGGGGGGAGGGAACTATGTTATGAGAAGAGGGAAAATGGAACATGTTGTGACCACTGGAAAGATCTGTGGAAAGAGAGACGGAGGAAGACAGCGCAAGAAGATTCTTGTCGGCCTGCTGTCATGGAGGGGTGTCAACACACGAACTGATACATGCAGCTGCGGATCGCAGACTATGGAGAGGCATGATCGGGGTAGGGGTGGAGATAGGGGAATCTGTGACTGCTGTCAAAGCCCCAAAGCCCTAAACATGTGATTGTCATGATCTGCACACAGGCCACAGAGGCCACATGAAACATCTGAAGTCAGGAAAAGTGAGCTCGTGTTGTGAACCGGCTGGAGACAGTCGTCGACCGGACGTCCTAGCGGACTGTCTGGACAACTGTAGCGTGGCCATGCCTCGTGCATAATGGTTTTAATTAGTGAGTTAGATATGTTGAATAATTTAGAACAATGTAGAAATGATAGAATAATCAAGTTAAAAGTAACAGAGCTTAACATGTTGTATCTACATCAGGCGTTCTCATGTGGATTGTAACCATATTCTGATAGTTTGTTCGTGTTGTAATGGTCGTGATTGCAGTGGTAATGTACTTTGAGTGTATCAACAATGAACTATGTAACCGCACTCATTACTCGTGGTATTTATCAAGCTCAGGGAGTCGGAGGTGAATATGAGAAATACAAATGATCACGTCTATCAGTGCGCGATGAATGACCTTTATAAACAAATGCTCTGACCTTGCCACCCGCCTCTCGTCCCCTGATACTCACGGCAGTAGGCAGGACATTTGATGATGATGAGACGCCGTCTCGAATTATCAGTTAAATTAAACAACAGACTACACAAACATGTGTGACATCGGGGGGGGGGGGGGGGAGCAGAAAGACACAAAAGAGATGCATTCACAAGAAGAAAAAAAATTCGGTGTAAGTATCGACTATGCAAAATTATTAGGTAAATTGAAGAATATATCTCAAGCTATTGGCGCATGAAACAAGACGTCTAGGCCTATTTTTAAACACCAGTCAGCACGCGATAGATGATACAGTCAAAACATAAGGTTGTTTTTACTTTCCATGGTATTTTCCGGAACCCATGTAAGGCTAGCGGTGTAATGCTGACCACATTACCCATCCAGTGCCGATTGGTCTGTAAAAATATTGGACGCTCTTCCCATATACCCGATGCGCATAAGGCGTGAAAGGGGATCTTTACTTTTTTACTTTTTAAGGCTAGATCGACGGGGAGTTTAGACTTGACTTGCCTTGCGGGTGAAAAACATCGTCACTTTCAACTAAGGCTGTACCGAATATTCGCTTCGGGGTCGAATAGTGGACCCAATAGCTATTCGGTATTCGGCCGAATAGTTGCGGTCGGGCCGAATACGAATAGTGGTTACCTCACAACCGTTTCTGGACTGGTGGGAAAAAAACATCAAGACTTCCCACCTTGGTTTATACTGTGAAGCGTTATTTTTGTGCATCACCTACGAGCGTACCAAGTGCCCCTTTAATTCCATCTTGCATGTGTTGCGAGTAGTGTTGTCGGCTTGTTTTCTTTGAGTGGAGTGTCCTCTTCGTTGATTATTTGAAGTAACGGAAGTTCGTCATCATTTATGGGTGTCGTATCTGTTCTTTCGTCGTCTCGTGGAAACGGCAGCGGCTGAATGTTTTGATCGACGTTCGGTTTCTTGATTGTCTTTGTTGTTTGATCTTCTGGCGTTGGCCGCCCGGCGTCTGGTTTCGTGAGCTCGCGGGGGGCTGGGCGACTTGTAAGGACGGCATTGTTTTCTTCGTCGGCGTTATTTTTGTTTTTGATGTTTCGCCTTGCAGGTTTTCATTTTGACTCTCTGTATTTATCGTATTTTCCTGTTTAGTACAGCTGGAAATACCTTCAGTGAGACCAAAAGCTGGCCTAATGCTGACAACATGGAACGAAGGTTTTTCATGGAGGTGTGTCAGCACACGAACTAATACGTGCTGCAGAAGATCGCAGATTGTGGCGAGGCATAATCGCCCATGCCAGCCGGCAAAGCACATGATGATGATGATTCACTATTCGTATTCGGCCGAATAGTTGGTCCAGCTATTCGTATTCGGCCGAATAGTGAAAATCACTATTCGGTACAGCCCTACTTTCAACCAACAATCCACCCAAGGTGGCAGCTACGCCATTAGTTAACGAGTATAGTTTTAACACAGATCCCTGGGAATCGTTGCCGGAGCTATAGAGTTCGTGCTCTGCGCTGTAGGCAGATAGCTAGCCGTTCTGCGGAGAGAGACCGATCCATATGGTATAAAACCTACCGCAGTGAAGTCGATCCTCTCGAGTTCAACATGTTAAACTCTAAGGGGGAACCTTTTAGTTAAAATTGTGACTAGGTTTGTGTGCGCCACATAAAATGGCTTAGCATTGTTGGCCACCAAGAAGCTCTGAAAAGAACTCCTGCAGTGTTGATGTCATCAGGGGAGACAAATACTGTAGCAACCGGTGTCTACCAGCCAGTTAATGGGCGACATGGTCGTCGATGATCAACTGGGAGTCAAAGTCAAGTGGCAAAATGAGAAGAAGATAATATTCTTCTTCCTCGCGTTCACCGGCTGTAAACTCCGGCGGAAAAATTATGGTTGTTTGTCCACTTCTGGACTCCAGTCTTGCTCTAGAAATTGAGTGTTGCGTGTCCATCTGTTTCACAGGTGTTAGTGATTTGCCTCTCAGGCAGATGTACTCCGACTTCGAAGGAAGCTCCCAATAAGTCGACTCTTAGGAGATGCTTTTTGGCAGGCAGTGAGTCTATTCTTGTTTTCCTCACAATGGGATCCCAGAACCCACACAGGGAAGAAGAGAACATTGAAATTTCCCGCGACTTCAAACATTTATTTTTCGTTTATTTCGAAAATCAGCCCTTATTTCTTTTTGAAATGAAAGTAACAAAAATAGCTATTAGAGCCACATCATAATACAGACCTTTTTGTGAGCACAGTCCTCTGTGACATAATGTCCCGGCAGGACAGTGAGAGCACGGGAAATCTTTTCTGTAAGGGACTGACGCCATTAAATTGGTTCTGAAACAAGTAGGTAAAGGTTATCTCCCATATTTGGTTTGGCCTAAACAACGGAACAACATCATGTCATAAGTGCTCTGTTCTACTTCTAACACAAGCCTGAGTCTGAAGAATCTCAGTGCAGTGCACGAACTTCGTAACACCGGTAAGCATCCTGAACTACTTTGGGTAGATTTTAGCCGTTATCCTACTTTTTTTTATTTTTAACTGCCAAGAGATTTTTACGTGCGCAACAAAACACACGGGCGCCTGGTCCCAGAGAAATTACAAGAAGTCCGCGTTACAAAAATCCCAAGCCTTCACCTTGGTCTGAACCCGGGATCTCCAGCACGCGAGGCACCCGTTATCTACCATAATGTTTACCAAATGCTAAAAGTAAAGAGAGTTTTGGAATCCGCCGTGGTGTAGCGGCTAGATGCTCACCTGCAGATCGGAATGTTGTGAGTTCGAGACCTGATGGAACCGGACTCTCTGTCACAAATTACTTTGGCCCCCAGGTCAACCCTGCCTTAAATGAGTAGCAGGTACAGCTATGGGAAGTAAAGGCGGTCGGCGTGATGTCGACCACATCCACCGCCGATGTCCTAAATTCACAGTAAGCCCGAAGGTGTGTAAAGGGTTAATTACTTTACAAATACTGTGCTTGCTTTACATTCATCTTTGCAATGAAAGACCATCTATTCTTTTCTATTCTCTCAATACAAATTTAGTCGTGCATTTAATAAAATTGCCTGGACACGAATTTTTGTAGATCATTTTCTGCACTGATATCTTTGTATCACAAGTTTCAATCTATAGCGAGTGGTACTCTGTTGTTGATGGACGTCATAACCCATGTGATTTCCTGTGTGTTTTTAAAACATTAACCCAGTCCACTCAGATAGCAAAAGTCAGGAAACTATATCTAATTCCTCTCTGTGACGCTTTACCGAATAAGGACAAACGAAGAAGAAGAACAAATGTACCTATACCAATCTGTGCCTTTAATATTTGAATGATAGGATCTACATATGTCACACGAAGGCTATCTTTTTGTGTGTTCTGTGTACAGGGAAGAATGATTTGCGTGGTCACATACTCACGTATTCCAGCCTCTTATTTTGGCTGTGACATAAGGGAATCAGTTCAATGCAATATTCAATCACTAAAAAAGGGAAACAACCTGCTGCCAGTGTAAGTATATATATATATATTTTTTTCAGTTGAGTTGATTTGCTCCAAGAGTCGACATCACAGCACTCAGGGCATTCCCATGAGCGCTTCGTCCCCATCTTAAGCAGTCAGTGCAGAGTTCTAATACTAATGGAAAAATACTAATGTTGTCTGTAGCAGTCTGATTAAACGTCCGTCTTGCCTTTCTTCTGAGCCTCAAGCATCGGCCAGAACCCCACGTCACTCCCCGCTGCATCAATCTTACCAGACAGTGGTGATCCATCTGCTCCTTCGAACTGTACACTCTCTCCCACAAGGCACTAACCATGTCTGTCTTATCATGCATCAGTATTCCATTAAGTTGTGCAGAGCCAGCCAGGCTGTCCGCCTGTTCATGTTCCAACACATCGACGTCTCCCGGAAAAATAAAAATGAAGAAATACTCCTCACCCGTGCCTTCGTAGTGAAACAAGACACTTTGCACGAAGCATGCCTGTCTGACCTTCCTCAAAACGCTTCCTGGGTCAGTTCAATCCTATTGTGTGTGTGTGTGTGTGTCGTGTTCTCAAACCAGCGGAAAGCTGCAGTGACCGCCTCCACCTCTATTCTTAAGCTGTATGTTGTAGTATCATATGCTAGGCTCTCCTGCACCAAACGTCGAGACCATTAATTTTGCTCAGAAACCCCAAACTCTTCTTTTGCCTCTTGACACTGAACTGTCTTTATAAATAATCAAATCGTCTGAGCGAGCATTATCTTGAATTAATTGCTGAATTTCCACACCCGTGTCACCTGCTGGCCAGTCTCTGCAATCAAGGCTCAGTGTGATTATGACCCTACACAAGCCTGACTGTTCAGGTGGCACTTTGACCCATTCCTCTCCTCGCCTAATGTTCTCCAGGCTGCAAACCTTTCTGACTGTGTCTTCTGCCTGAGCCATCCATGACTTCCATCTTATCAGCCGCTGACCCTTAATTGCACCCAGAGCTTCGTGCAAAGGGTGGTCTGTGTCTGCAGCTGCCTTGAGATATGACTTCGCCTGCACCACCTTGTGCCTACACGCAACGTCGGCAAACCAAGGTAGTTTCGTATACACACCACTTGAGTGTCTCTGGTGCAACCCAGAATGACACGCCTAGTTGCGTTATGTATGCGCTCTGGTTAGTTTAGTTTTGTTTTTTTTAAATCTTGTTCACCTTCAAAATATTTCGTCTTCTTTGTTTTCCCCCTCTGCGCTGTATTTGAGAGACAGGTCTGAATCAAAATATGTTTCCAAGCATTCGAGTGAGTTCTCTTTCCTCTTTAAAAAAAAAAGCACTCCTCCCTCATCATCATCTTTTGTCTGCTGTTAGACGTTCCATGGGGCTCGCATTCGGCTCCTCCACTCCGTTCTATTGCATGCAACGTTCTCGATTTTGACACCTGAGTTCAGCCCAGCATTTTTTGCCTCAAATAATAATGTTCTTCTTAATATTTGCTTTGGAGATCCTTTTTTCCTCAGACTGTTTCCCGCTTCAGTGCCTATTTTGTAATGCTTTGTTCATTTCGTCTCAGAGTGTGCCCAGTATATCTCCACCTTCTTTGTCTTATTGCAGTCGATATAGGTATTCGTCCAACCATTTCTATGATCTCACTCTTTTTGAATTCATCGAATTTAACGCTCATGATTTTTCTCCGATATTTATTTGCAAATGCATTTAAATTTCGTTCCATACCTTTGGTGGTTCTATAACTTTCGATGGTTGATGTTGAACCTGATATAAAGCTATAACTAAAGATGTGATGGCCAGTTCGTCATTTTTTTTTAATTTAAGATTAACTTATTTATGAAAAATCAAATCAGCTCTCAGTACTAATGTTTATATCACATTGCATACATACAATCATACATACATACATACACACACACACACACACACACACACACACACATACACACACACACACACACACACACACACACACACACACACACACACACACACACACACACACACACACACACATACATACATACATACATACATACATACATACATACATACATACATACATACATACATACATACATACATACATTACATGCCTACATTACATGCCTACATTACATGCCTACATTACGTGCATACATACATACATACATACATACATACATACATACATACATACATACATACATACATACATACATACATACATACATACATACATACATACATACATACATACATACATACATACATACATACATACATACATACATACATACATACATACATACATACATACATACATACATACACACATACACACACACACACCCACACACCCACACACCCACACACCCACACATCCACACATCCACACATCCACACATCCACACACCCACACACCCACGCACCCACACACCCACACACACACACACACACACACCCACCCCCACACACACACACACACACACAGAGACAGACAGACAGACAGACAGACAGACACACAGACACACAGACACACAGACACACATACATACATACATACATACATACATACATACATACATACATACATACATACATACATACATACATACATACATACATACATACATACATACATACATACATACATACATACATACATACATACATACATACATACATACATACATACATACATACATACATACATACATACATACATACATACATACATACATACATACATACATACATACATACATACATACATACATACATACATACATACATACATACATACATACATACATACATACATACATACATACATACATACATACATACATGCGGACGGACGGACGGACAGACAGACAGACAAACAGACAGACAGACAGACAGACAGACAGACAGACAGACAGACAGACAGACAGACAGACAGACAGACAGACAGACAGACAGACAGACAGACAGACAGACAGACAGACAGACAGACAGACAGACAGACAGACAGACAGACAGACAGACAGACAGACAGACAGACAGACAGACAGACAGACAGACAGACAGACGGAGAGGCTTATACAGAACCCATTAACACTTGCAAATATAAAACATTACATTATTTACTACCTCGGTGAATAGAAACAGACAAACAGTGAGACTGATGGCTCAGTCCTGATGCCGTTATGTAGTTTATCACAGGTGTTGAGTGCGCAGCCAATTCTGTTTGCTTGTGCAGTTATCATCTGGGGAGAGAAGAATACCAAAAAATATACCTTGGTGTTAGCACAAGGTCATTTGTTTTGCCCCTACCTGCGCGTTGGAGGTATATAGGCTGACCGTCATTCCATTGAACGAAGTTTTTTCGCCAGGGACACTAGATGAGTATCATTTATTCTATACATTAGAGTCCTATGTAGTCACTTCATAGTTAGAGCTTTTTTGTGTATGTGTACTGTGTTGTCCGTTATGTGCTGATGAAGGCTAATCGTCGCAACGTCCTTTGTTTGTTTCTTGTGATCGATTTTCTAAAGCTAACATAAACTAATTGTTATTTCTTAACCAACTTTTTCTCTTCCCTATTATTTTCTACTCCTTTTTAAAAACTTATTATAGCTTTACCGCAGTCACCTTATTTGCCGAAATATATTATCACCACCCTCATACTGCAACTCATCGTATGGTCTTGTCTGTGTGTTACTGTGGCGCTGATTGAGTTTACCTTATTTCAGTGTTACTATTGTGGCTGTTGTGTAGGTTCTAGCGTACAGTATTTGTGTTAGACCCTATTCCCCTATCCTTAGCTTTCTTGTTTCGCCACGCTATTATTACCTTTACGGTATTTCCTGTCCATTTCCATGGCTACTGCGTCCGCCACTTTTAGTTCACTTAGATCCCACATAATTTTTAGTTTTAGTCTTTTACGGGATGACCTTAGACAGGTAGCTACTGATTTAGCCCTGAATATTTTACAGAAAACACGCACTACGTGCCATATTAACTTTCTTCATAACTGTTTACGTTATAAGATCACCCCACGCGGGTTTACGCCCCGATTCAACATGTCGGCGGGTACATTACATGCTGTCTGTGCTAAACGCCTGTCTAAGGTAGAGAGTAAATGCGCTATTCTTAGAATGCGTTGTGTCCTGGAGAACCATCGACGTAATCTGGCTGACCTACAGTGTCAGATTACCCCACTGGACAAACGCCTGCGCGATCTGACTAGTCGCAACTACTTTTTGTACTGTGTCATCCGTTGTATACCTCTAACCACCGGCTCTATAAATCTCTGACCGCGGCTAAGAATATTAAACTGACCAACCTACGCCCACGTCAGCCCACCCCGTCACTCCCCTCCTGTTCACAAACCAATAATAACAAGCTAGTGGTGTGCGTCCCCTCAGATCTCCCTTTATCTAACGCACAAAAATCAGTTTTAAGCAAGGGTCTTCGTTTTGTTCCCCTGAAGCCTTTTTGTGACAGGTACGCTTCCCTGCAGGATGTCCATCGTTTCATCCGGTTACTCAGACTAAAATTTTTTCACAGCACGAGAAACTGCGACACGAACTCGGCTGCTGCAGATGATGATTTTTTTCACTAGAATTTCCAAACGGAAGTCAACCTGGACCCCTAATTCAGGCACATCTGCAGCACTGGATTTATATATTGCCAAAACCCTGTTTGCTATACAACAACCGAAGCCGAAGCCACTTAGGCATTCCAATCTCACGCTAGCGGAACAACAAGCGTTAACTCAGTTGCAGCGTCGTGAGGACATCGTTATCAAACCCGCAGACAAAGGGGGAGCAATCGTATTCTGGCGGAAAGATCTATATATCCGAGAAGGGCAGCGACAACTTCAGGATGGTGCTTCCTACCACCCGCGCATGGAAGACGCCACGCTGGCTAACAATCATAAAGTGAAATCAGTGGTGACGACACTCATCACACAAGACCTCCTTCCCCAGAGAGCCAAGTCACTTCAAATCTATGACAGCTGTTTGGGGAAACCTAGCTTCAACATGCTGCCTAAAATTCATAAAGAAGACACCCCAGGGAGGCCCATAGTTTCAGCTTGCTCGTGTCCAACCGAGCATGTATCTGCATTTTTGGACAGCATTTTTCAACCATTAGTGGCCGAGCTCCCGTTTTACCTGAAGGACACCAACCATGCCATTGTAACTTTTAAGTCTATGATTTTCACCTCAGACCATAGTAGGTATCAGGTCTTTACTTTGGATATTGCCTCACTGTATACCTCCATCCGAGTTGGTTCTGACTCTCAATTCTTTTGAGTTTAACGGCAAGTACTTTGCCCAAATTAAGGGTGTGGCTATGGGCACTAAAATGGGCCCTAGTTATGCCTGCCTCTTCATGGGTTTTCTGGAATACCAGGTGTGGCTACTGTACACAGGTCGAGTCCCTGAATTGTATAGGAGATATATTGATGATGGTTTTGGTGTCACCGATATGTCAGTAGTGGAACTGGGAAACTTCATTGAATTCTTCTCGAATTTTCACCCCAGTATCCAACTAACCCACCATATTTCTTCCTCTTCAGTCAATTTCTTGGACCTCTCAGTTTCTATCAACCCTCGTGGTCTCACTACATCGGTCTACTATAAACCGACCGACTCCCATGCCTTTCTACTCTATGACTCCTCTCATCCTCGGTCTTGAAAGGACGCCATTCCTTTCTCTCAACTCTTGCGTCTTAGACGATTATGCAAGGATGATGATGACTTTCACAGCAGGGCCCACGAAATGATGAATTTCTTCCGATCACGTGGATATCCTGTCTTAGAATCTGCCTTCCGCCGCTCCCAGAGCATCAGTCGGGTGGATGCTTTCATCCCCAGGCCTAAACTGCAGAACCTTAGACCCATACTTTCCTTAACTTACCACCCTCATAACATTGCTATCAAGAACATCCTATTCCGTCATATGTCTATCCTCCGAGCGGACCCAGTAACCAACGCTGTGTTTTCAGAGACACCTCTACTGGCATATAAGCGGGACCGCAACCTCTGAGATTTACTGGTACACAGCAGAGTACGGGGACCCGCCCCAACTCATCCGGGCACTAAGGCTTGCCTTAGATCTCAGTGCAACACCTGCCCATACGTGCTGAATACTTCAGATGTGACTTTTCCTAAAGGCACTTTTAGCATCAAAGAGGAATTCTCCTGCACTAGTAGGAACGTCATCTATGCTATCATCTGCAAATGGTGCAACATCAAGTACATCGGGGAAACCGGTCTTCGCCTAGCCGACAGGTTTCTCCAGCATCTTCATGACATCACTAACCAAATAGCCAGGCCAGTTTCCACTCATTTCAACAGCGCTGACCATCGGGGGACCGCTGACATTAAGGTCACGGCTATCAGATCATGCTCGTCTGACGATCGACATCGGAAAACTTTGGAAAACCGACTTATATATTTGATGGGTAACCTCTCACCACTAGGCCTTAACACCCAACATAGCTTCGTATAAATTATCAGTGTCCCGGTAACGCACCCTTATCCCCCTCCCTTCCTCCACACTACACCCACGCCCATCCCACGTTAGTTTCTGACAGTCATGATATTCCAGTTACATAGCATGAGGGTTATCCCCTAGGTCTCGACAGATTATGTTGCTGGTTGCTTGACACTACATAATATACTTGGATACTAGTCTCTCTCTCTCTCTCACTCTCTCTCTCTCTCTCTCTCTCTCTCTCTCTAGGTATGTACCAAGTTTTCTCTGGTCTTCCCTCTCCTTACTCTTCTCCCCTTCCTCTCCCCCTTTCTGTTTTGTTTCTCCCCTACCTCCCCCCCCCTCTCTCTCTCTCTCTCTCTCTCTCTCTCTCTCTCGTCGTTCTCTATCTTTTTCTCTTTTCTCTCCCCTATTCATACAAACTTTCATTCATCCATTCATTTTTCCTCGTTACATATGGATGCACTGTCCTAATGTGGAACAATTTCGTGATAGTGTTGGAACGCACTCCTCCTATACAGTGTACATATCTCGTTTTGACTACCGAGATGGTAAGTATGTATACACACTGGGGGTATGCAGTTCTGACTCGACAGATATTGGGTATAACAATCATCCTTACTGACTCTGTGTGACATCAGACAGTCATATATAAGCACTGCATCACTAGACCCTTGTTCACGCGATGTCAGATTAACATACATTAATTCCATACATCCTTCCATCTACCCATCCATCCTCTCGTCCACCCATATATCATATCATTCATTCATCGCTCCCCACGTTTCTTTGCACCCATACCCGATGTACAATACATCACTAGTCTCGGCTACCTACACAGCAGGTATCTCAGGCAACACGATGTTGTTGCGCGTGGGCTCGATTGATACTTTGTATAATAATCACCCTTACTGTCTTTACTTGCTTGATGACAGTAAGAGAGAAGCATCACAGTATGAGACCCTTGTTTGGACCTGTTTAAATCCTCGGCTCTCTAGCGTAGTTGGCTAAACCGGATTGCGCGGTGAGCGGGTGACGAACTCCTTGTGGTCCGGGTTCACTTCCGGGGGTAGGCATGAAAGCCACATTTCTCCTAGTTTTATGGTATTTAAAATGGAATCAAGGCCGAAGGGTTGCGATATCCATAATACAGAGCCTAAGGATTAACAACTCATGGCTTCTGGATACTAAAACAAAGCAACAAACCGGTTTTAATATATCAGCATACATATAGGCAGATCCATCCATCCATCTACCATTGCATCTATCTACGAACGTAACCATCGTCCCGCCCATTCATCTACCCACACCATTTATCTCACCATCCACTCAATGCTATTTTTCACCGCTTCCTTCCATTCTGGCTGTTACCATCATTGCACTTGGGCTCGACCAATACTTTGTATAAAAATCGCCCCTACTGTCTCTATTTGATAGCGGACAGTAAGAGAGAAGCATTGTGTTACTAGACTCATGTTTTTACCTCATCTGATATTTGGTCGATCCATCCATCCATCTACGATTCCATTCATCCACTAATACAGCCATCTATCATTCCATCCATTCATCTACCCACCCACCAATCCATCCATCTACCATTCCATTCATCCACTAATACAGTCATCCATCATTCCATCCATTCATCTACCCACCCATCTATCCAGGATACACTCGCTTATCCACATCACCATCCACACATGCTGTTTTCCCATCTTTCCCTTCATCGCTCCCTTACACTCTAGTTGTTACGAGTCTTACTCTC